AATCTCATAAACAGCAGAATGACCTCTGTTCATTTCCAAGGCAAACCATTCAGTATCATGGTAATCCAAGTCTATGCCCTGAACAGTAATACTGAAGAAGCTGAAGTTGAACGGTTCTATGAAGACCTACAAAGCCTTTTAGAACTAACACCCAAAAAAGATGTCCCTTTCATTATAGGGGACTGGAATGCAAAAAAAAAAAAAAAAGGAAGTCAAGAAACACCTGGAGTAACAGGTAAATTTGGCCTTGGAGTACAGAATTAAGCAGGGCAAAGGCTAACAGAGTTTTGCCAAGAGAATGCACTGGCCATAGCACACACCCTCTTCCTCCAGCACAAGAGAAGACTGTACATATGGACATCATCAGATGGTAAACACCGAAATCAGATTGATTATATTCTTTGCAGCCAAAGATGGAGAAGATCTATATGGTCAGCAAAAAAAAAAAAAGTGACTGGGTGGTGATTGTGGCTCAAATCACGAACTCCTTATGGCCATATTCAGACTTAAATTGAAGAAAGTGGGGAAACCCACTAGACCATTCAGGTATGACCTAAATCAAATCCCTTATGATTATATAGTGGAAGTGACAAATAGATTTAAGAGACTAGATTTGATAGACAAAAATATATGATGAACTGTGGACGGAGGTTCATTACATTGTAAAGGAGGCAGGACTCAAGACCATCCTCAAGAAAAAGAAATGCAAAAAAGCAAAATGGCTGTCTGAGGAAGCCTTACAAATAGCTATGAAAAAAAGAGAAGTGAAAAGCAAGGAGAAAAGGAAATATATACCCATTTGAATGTAGAGTTCCAAAGAGTAGCAAGGAGGGATAAGAAAGCCTTCCTCAGTGATCAATGCAAAGAAACAGGAAAACAATAGAATGGGAAAGACTAGAGATCTCTTCAAGAAAATTAGAGATAGCAAGAGAACATTTCATGCAAAGATAGATTCCATAAAGAACAAAAATGTTACGGACCTAACAGAGGTAGAAGATATTAGGAAGAGGTCACAAGAATACACAGAAAAGCTATACAAAAAAGATCTTCATGACCCAGATAATCACGAGGGTGTGATCACTCACCTAGAGCCAGACATCCTGGAATGTGAAGTCAAGTGGGCCTTAGGAAGCATCACTATAAACAAAGTGAGTGGAATTCCAGTTGAGCTATTTCAAATCCTAAGAGATGATGCTGTGAAAGTGCTCCACTCAATATGGAAAACTCAACAGTGGCCACAGGACTGGAAAAGATCAGTTTTCATTCCAATTCCTAAGAAAGGCAATTCCAAAGGATGCTCAAACTACCACACAATTGCACTCATTTCACACGCTACTAAAGTAATGCTCAAAATTCTCCAAGACAGGATTCAGCAATACATGAACTGTGAACTTCCAGATGTTCAAGCTGGTTTTAGAAAAGGCAGAGGAACCAGATATCAAAATTGCCAACATCTATTGGATTATCAGAAAAGCAAGCAAGTTCCAGAAAAACATCTATTTCTGCTTTGTTGACTATGTCAAACCATTTGACTACATGGATCACCACAAAGTGTGGAAAATTCTTCAAGAGATGGGACTACCAGACCACCTGATCTGCCTCTTGAGAAATCTATATGCAGGTCAGGAAGCAACAGTTAGAACTGGCATGGAAAAACAGACTGGTTCCAAATAGGAACAGTAGTATGTCAAGACTGTATATTGTCACCCTGTTTATTTAACTTATGTGCAGACCACCATGAGAAACGCTGGGCTGGTTGAAGCATAAGCTGGAATCAAGATTGCTGGGAGAAATATCAATAACCTCAGATATGCAGATGACACCACCCTTACGGCAGAAAGCAAAGAAGAGCTAAAGACCTCTTGATGAAAGTGAAAGAGGAGAGTGAAAAAGTTGGCTTAAAGCTCAACATTCAGAAAACTAGGATCATGGCATCCAATCCCATCACTTCATGGCAAATAGATGCAGAAACAGTTAAACAGTGGCAAACTTCATTTTTTGGGGCTCCAAAAGCACTGCAGATGGTGACTGCCGCCATGAAATTAAAAAACACTTGCTCCTTGGAAGAAAATTATGACCAACCTAGACAACATATTTAAAAGCAGACAATACGTTGCCAATGAACTCCATCTAGTCAAGGTGATGGTTTTTCCTGTAGTCATGTATGGATGTGAGAGTTGGACAATAAAGAAAGCTGAGCTCTGAAGAATTGATTCTTTTGAACTGTGGTGTTGGAGAAGACTCTTGAAAGTCCCTTGGACTGCAAAGAGATCCAACCAGTCCATCCTAAAGGCAATCAGTCCTGAATATTCATCGGAAGGACTGATGTTGAAGCTTAAACTCCAGAACTTAGGCCACCTGGTGCAAAAAATGGAATCATTTGAAATGACCCTGATGCTGGGAAAGAGTGAATGTTGGAGGAGAAGGGGATGACAGAGGATTAGATGGTTGGATGGTATTACCAACTCAATGGACATGAGTTTGAGTAAACTCCAGAGTTGGTGATGAACAGGGAAGTCTGGCCTGCTGCAGTCCATGGTGTTGCAAAGAGTCGGACATGATTGAGCGACTAAACTGAACTGAACTGAACCCTACAGTGTTATGAACCTTCGTCCATAGTTCTTCAGGAACTCTGTCTATCAGATCTATTCCTTTGAGTCTATTTGCTACTTTCACTATATAATCATAAGGGGTTTGATATAGGTCCTGTCAGAATGGCCTAGTAGTTTTAATTACCTTCTTCAATTTAAGTCTGTATTTTGAAGTAAGGTCATTCAGGTATTTGAATAAGACCATTCAGGTATGACCTAAATAAAATCCCTTACAATTATACAGAGGAAGTGAGAAATAGATTTAAGGGACTAGATTTGATAGAGTGCCTGATGAACTATGGATGGAGGTTCATGACATTGTACAGGAGACAGGGATCAAGACCATCCCCATGGAAAAGAAATGCAAAAAGGCAAAATGGTTGCCTGAGGAGGCCTTACAAATAGCTGTGAGAAGAAGAGAAGCAAAAAGCAAAGGAGAAAAGGAAAGGTATAAATATCTGAATGCAGAGTTCCAAAGAATAACAAAGAGAGATAAGAAAGCCTTCCTCAGCAATCAGTGCAAAGAAATAGAGGAAAACAGTAGAATGGGAAAGACTAGAGATCTCTTCAAGAAAATTAGAGATCCCAAGGGAAATTTCAGGCAAGGATGGGCACAATAAAGTACAGAAACAGTATGGACCTAACAGAAGCAGAAGATAGTAAGAAGAGGTGGCAAAAATACACAGAAGAACTGAACAAAAAAGATCTTCACGACCCAGATAATCACGAGGGTGTGATCACTCACCTAGAGCCAGACATCCTGGAATGTGAAGTCAAGTGGGCCTTAGAAAGCATCACTACGAACAAAGCTAGTGGAGGTGATGGAATTCCAGTTGAGCTATTTCAAATCCTAAAAGATGATCCCGTGAAAGTGCTGCACTCAATATGTCAGCAAATTTGGGAAACTCAGCAGTGGCCACAGGACTGGAAAAGGTCAGTTTTCATTCCACTCCCAAAGAAAGGCAATGCCCAAGAATGCTCAAACTCCCACACAATTGCACTTATCTCACAGGCTAGTAAACTAATGCTCAAAATTCTCCAAGCCAGGCTTCAACAATACGTAAACTGTGAACTTCCAGATGTTCAAGCTGGTTTTAGAAAGATAGAGGAACCAGAGATCAAATTGCCAACATCTGCTGGATCATCAAAGAAGCAAGAGAATTCCAGAAAAACATTTATTTCTGCTTAAAATGATTGGCTGGAAGAAGCTCAAGCTGGTATCAAGATTGCTGGGAGAAATATCAATAACCTCAGATATGCAGATGACACCACCCTTATGGCAGAAAGTGATGAAGAACTAAAGAGCTTCTTGATGAAAGTGAAAGAGGAGAGTGAAAAAGTTGGCATAAAGCTCAACATTCAGAAAACTAAGATCATGGCATCTGGTCCCATCACTTCATGGCAGATAGATGGGGAAACAGTGGAAACAGTGGCTCACTTAATTTTTGGGGGGCTCCAAAATCACTGCACATGGAGATTGCAGCCATGAAATTAAAAGACGCTTACTCCTTGGAAGGAAAGTTATGACCCACCTAGACAGCATATTAAAAAGGAGAGACATTACTTTGTCACAAAGGTCCATTTAGTCAAGGCTATGGGTTTTCCAGTAACCATGTATGGATGTGAGAGTTGGACTATAAAGAAAGTTGAATGCTGAAGAATTGATGCTTTTGAACTATGGTGTTTGAGAAGACTCTTGAGTGTCTTTGGACTGCAAGGAGACCAGTCAGTCCATCCTAAAGATCAGTCCTGGGTATTCATTGGAAGGAGTGATATTGAAGCTGAAACTCCAATACTTTGGCCATGTGATGCGACGAGCTAACTCATTTGAAAAGATCCTGATCCTGGGAAAGATTGAGGGTAGGCGGAGAAGGAGATGACAGAGGATGAGATGGGTGGATGGCATCACCGATTCAATGGACATGAGTTTGTGTGAACTCCAGGAGTTGGTGATGGACAGGGCGGCCTGGCGTGATGCAGTTCATTGGGGTCGCAAGGATTTGGACACAACTGAGTGACTGAACTGAACTGAACTGATGAAGCACAAGCTGGAATCAAGATTGCCAGGAGAAATATCAAAGCTGAGAGTGGAAGAATTGATGATTTTGAACTTGGTTTTTTTTTTTTTTTACAAAGAGCATGTAATTAATTAATTTATTTCTCTACTCATAATTGAAGTGATGTTACAGTACATAAGTTATTTACAACTGTGCAGTAATGTGTTGCAAAATAAATTATCTAGAAGGCAGCAAAAGTACATTGTGAACGTGTATAAAACTGTAGGCGTTTACGGGTACACTTTTTATATGATTATTGGCTCTGTAGTGTTTCAAGTTATGTTCTCAGAAAGAGAAACAAAATGCCCAAGATTAAAGGAAAAAATATACAAACCACGTGGATTTGACTCCATTAAAAACACAACTGAGTGTCCTGCCTCCATGTCCCTGTGAGGCGGGCGGGCGGTGCAGCCAGGCCCTCGCCCAGTCCAGCGTTCTGGCCCCAGTCGGAGGCCCGGGCCATCGGCAGCTTCGTGGTGACAGGACGGTAGCCGGCCCGGTGCTCTCCCTGCCCTCTGACCAGAGACCACTGTTGCTGAAGGGTAGGCGCCTTAGTTTTATTCTCTTGAGTTGATAAAAAATGGAACCAGGAATTTAAAGACTGCTCTCCATCCTGCAGCTCCTGAGATGCCTGTGCAGCCGCCGGAGAAGAGCCCGAGGCCACCGCGCCCATGCCCGCGTCCTCCCGCGGGGGCCGGTAGGAAGGAGGCGCACCAGGGACCCAGTGCGGTTTCTCCCTGGGTGTCCCCACTGGGGACGTGGTCTCCTCCCGCCGCCTGGACTCGGCAGCAGACGTCAGGGGGGCTCGCCTGTGTCCTGTGTAGCTGTCCCTGCGGGTCAGGCCGGCAGGAGCACAAAGTCGTCATTGACGTCGACCATGGGCACGTAGAAGGACGGCACCTCATTCACGCACAGGGACTTGTGCCAGGCGGGGTCCAGCTCCTGGACCTTCAACTGCCACTCCATCCTCTGCACGGCATTGAGAGCCGCCGCCTCATGCTGCTGCCGCATCGGAAGACACGTCTTCATGCGGTCGTACTTGTCGTCCACGTCCTGCAGCCAGGATATGGACTGGCGGGCGTTGAACCGGACCCGCACTGACTTGTTCTCATCACCCTGGCTCTCCAGCGGCATGTTGTACACTTCCGAGTCCAGCAGCATGGTGCAAGCGCTGAACGGCACCGCCTGGTTCGCGATGGTCCTCGCCGCCCGGCAGGGGACTCGCAGGATCTCCTGTTCGCAGGAGATGATCAGCTTTTCCCACTCGATGCTGTGCTGCAGGCGAAGCTTCCCCTGCACGGCCTCCTGCTGCTTGAACAGCTCCTTCAGGGGCTCTGCCAGTGAGGGTGGGGGCGCGATCACAGGGATGTGCAGCTTGCTGAGTGGCTTGCCGTCCAGGAGGTGGGAGCCAGTTTGGAGAAGACTCTTGAGTCCCCTTGAACTGCAAGGAGATCCAACCAGTCCATCCTGACGGACTCAGTCCTGAATATTCATTGGAAAGACTGATGCTGATGCTGAACCTGCAAAACTTTGGCCACCTGATGTGAAGAACTGACTCACTGGAAAAGAACCTGATGCTGGGAAAGATTGAAGGCAAGAGGAGAAGAGGACTACAGAGGATGAGATCATTGGATGGCATCACTGACCTGATGAACATGAGTTTGTGCAAGCTCTGGAAGTTGCTAATGGACAGGGAATCCTGCAGTGCTGCAGTCTATGACATCACAAAGATTCATGCATGACTGAGCAACTGAACTGTTCACTTTGTGATGAGGAGCTCATGATCTGAGCCACAGTTAGTTCCAGGTCTTATTGTAATTAATTAATTAATTTTAATTGGAGACTAACCAGTGCAAGCCCAGGTGTTTATTATCAGATTATATCACTTGAAAGGTATATTTGTTACATGCCTTAATTTTCAAATGTATCACAATTGGAAAAGAATACTTGTCATTAAAATAAGAAGGCACAATGAGTTGGGTAGAAATGGCAGAGAATTAATATAATCAAGATCCATAACACTGGGTGGGTATTCCATGATCAGGAAGATAATCACAATTGCAGTGGTTTCCCTAAAGAGTGAAAAGTCTAAGTCTCATGTCAAACTTCCCAGCCCAGGGGTCCTGTGACAGAAAGAGGAACTCAGAGAATAACTGGCTTTGAAGGCCAGCAGAGTTTGTGAATAAAAGAGATGGAAGCTGTAGGAAACAGAGACTCTACTCTTGAAAGTTTGATGCAAAATCTGAAAAGATCCATGACTCAGCACAGAGGGAATACATAGAAAGAATCCTGGTTCAAACCCATGTGCTTATCTTGGAGAGTCTCCTAGAGAAGTAGTAGGGTGCTAGGACTCCCCTAGAAGTATAGATACTGGCAACATCTATTTTGGAGAGGTCGTTCTATCAAGTGGACTCTGGTGCTGGCAAGCAATATTTTGGAGTCCTTCCTCTAGTCTATTAGAGCCAGAAGCTGACTGGACCACCAGTCAGTCATCTCAGTCCTGGCCACACCTCATGCTGAGCAGTTAACCATGTAGGAACACATTTGTACCCACCAGCAGGCCATCACCAACACCAGAATTCCTCCAGATCCACAGCCAGCTGCCGCAGGAACCAATCTCACCCACCAGTTGACAAGTACCACCATGGGACTACATTAGCCACACAGCCATTCACTCAGGGAATAAAATCAGCCAACAGAAAGGCAACACAACAGCTGGGGTGACACCAAGACCCACAGAAAACTTCCCTAAGACCCAGCCTCATGTACCAGCATACAAGCAATCTCTTCATGAGGTAGAGACTGGAAGCCACTGGCCAGTGGGTAGCTCCATTTATCAGCAGACACATCATAGTTGGACAAACTACAAAAGAAGGATCCAGACAGTACACAAAGAGAGCACATATAAAGTATATAGCTCTAGTGACCAGAAGAGAGTGTTGCTGGGCTGCACAGGACACCTCCTACACAAGGACATGTCTCCAAAATGAGAAATGTTAAACCAACCTATGTAAGACATGTAAAGAAACACAGACACTAGGCAGAATGAGGACACAGAGGAATATGATTCAAACAAAGAAGCAAGCTTAAACCCCAGAAGAAGAAATAAACAAAGTGATGGTAAACAGTCTATCCAATAAAGATTTCAAAATAGTGATCAGAAAGAGGTCAATGACCTAGAAAGTAGAGTGGATGAGCACAGTGAGAATTTAGCAAAGAGTTAGAAAATGTAAAGATGAAGAAAACAGAGTTCAGGAATAAAATAACTGAGAAAATATATATGCTAGATGGAATCAAGAATAAGTCAGGTGATATAGAAGAACAGATCAACAAACTGGAAAGCAGAGTAAAGGAAATCAGCCAAACAACAGAGAAAGAAAAATGTTTAATGAGGATAGTTTAAGAGACCTCTGAAACAACATGAGATACACTAGCATTCTCATTATAGAAGTTTCTCAGAAGGAAAAAGGGGGGATGCAGATAATTTATTTGAAGAATAGCTTAAAACTTCCTTAACAGAGGAAAGAAAACAGATGATCATGTCAGGAAGTACAGAGTCCCAAAACTAATGAGTCCCCCCAAAATCTACACTGACACACAATGTAATTAAAGTGGCCAAAATTTAAGATAAACATAAAATGTTAAAAGCAACAAAGAGAAGTAACTAGTTATATATAGGTCATCTGTAAAACTGTGGGCTGACTTTTCAGCAGAAACTGCAGGCCAGAAAGAAGTGATATGATATGTTGTAAGTAATAAAAGGAAAAAAATAACATACAACCAGGTATACTGTACTTGGCAAGGCTATCATTTATTCAAAAGAGTGATAAAGGGTTTCCAGACAAGCAAAAACTAAAAAGACTTCAACATCTAAAGGTTTACAAGAAATGTTAAAGGGGCTTCTGTAAGCAGAAAGAAAAGACCACACCTAAAAATATAAATATTACAAATAGGAAAATCTCATTGGTAAAGGCAAACATACACTAAATTTAGTAGATTGACCATTAAGGTTAAATGACTAAAGTAGCAAAATTATGTATATCCACAATAGATAGTTTGGGCTTCCCTGGTGACTCAGATGGTAATGAATCTGCCTGCATTGCAGTGGACCCAGGCTTGATCCCTAGGTTGGGAAGATACCCCAGAGAAGGGAATGGCTACCAACTCCAGTATTCTTGCCTAGAAAATCCCATAGACAAAGGAGTCTGGTGGGCTACAGTCCATGGCATTGCAAATAGTTGGACATGATTGAGCAACTAAGCACTCACACACAATAAGTAGTTAAAGATTATACAAAGCAAAATATGGAAATTATGATGTGAAAATATTAAATGGGGTTCAGAGCGTGGGACTAAAGATGCAAAGTTTTAGAGTGTTTCAAACTTGAGAAACTATTACTCAAATTAATCACACATATAAATATCAGATGTTATATATGAACTTCATGGTAATCACAAATAAAAATCAGTAATAAATGGATACAAAAAGATGAGAAAGGAATCCAAACATAACACTAAAGATAATCATCAAATCGCAGGAGAAGATAGAAAAGAAAAAGAGAGGATGAAAAACGAGCTACAAAAGCAACCCCAAAACCACCATAAAATAGCATGCGTGCGTGCAGAGTCACTTCAGTCATGTCTGACTCTTTGTGACCCTGTGGACAGTAGCCTGCCAGGCTCCACTGTCTATGGGATTCTCCAGGCAAGAATACTGAAGTGGGTTGCCATGCCCTCCTCCAGGGGAATTTCCCAACCCAGGGATGGAAACTGCCTCTTTTACATCTCTTGCATTGGCAGGTGGGTTCTTTACCACTAACACCACCTAGGAAGCCAAGAATATAGCATTATCAGTCAACAATTGCTTTAAATGTAAGTAGACTAAATGCTCCAATCTAAAAATAGAAAGTTGCTGAATGGATTATAACAAAATAGACTCCATATACATGCTGCCTACTCACTTCAGATCTAAAGACAAGCACAGACTGAACATGAGAGGATAAAAAAGGTATTTCATGCAAAGAGAAATGAATAGAAAGCCAGGTTAGGCAAGCTCCAACAATACATTAAAAGGATGATATACCATCATCACATGAGATTTATCCTAGGGATGCAAAGATGGTTCATTATCTGCAAATCAATCAATGTGATATACCACATTAACAAATTGAGGAATATATATAATCATCTCAAGAAATACAGAAAAAGCCCCTTAAAAAAATCAATATTCATTTATGATAAAAAAAATTATTGACAAAGTGGGTATAGAGAGAACATATATCAAATGATAAAGGCCATATATGACAAGACCACAACTAACATCATACTCAGTGGTGAGAAGCTGAGAGCATTCCTTTAACATTAAGAATAAGACAAGGATACCCACTCTTGCCACTTTTGTTTAACATGGTATTAGAAGTCCAAGTCACAGCAACCAGACAGGGAAAGCAAAACAAAATCCAAGTTGGAAAGGGAGACACAAAGCCCTCACTCTTTGAAGATGACATGATACTGCATTAAAGACAATATCAAAAATTTATTAGAATTCATCGAAGTCATAGGGTACAAAATTAATATACAGAGACATTTTGCATTTCATACACTAATATTGAACTATCAGAAAGAGGAACTTAATCTCATTTGCAATTGCATCAAAAATAATAAAATATCCAAGAATACATATAAGCAATGAAGTAAAAGCCCTACTCTGGAAAATGTAAAAGACATTCATGAAAGAAATGGAAGATGACCTGTAAGGGAACGTTTAATTTGAAGGAATCCTATATGTTGTTTTCTGTTTCTCAGGGGCCCTCTTTTCCTTATCAGTTCTCAGAAAACAGGAAGGAGCAGAGCTACACGCAGTTCTCAGGACTGAGGTCATGAGACAAAATGCTTACATGGATTCCTTTCAGTAACCTTTTACTTTTCTGTAAAACTACTTAGTCATGTTCCTATTTCCAATACATGAATTGTCTTCTGGCCCTGTGATGATTGTTATTCCCTTAGTTACTATAGCTATGCGTTTGGTTTCGGTGTTTTTGCTCAACTTTATTTTTCTTCCTAAAGCTTCCTTGTATAACAATATATAAGCACACGCTGCCATGATAAAGCACCCTTGTTCCACTAGAGACTTGGATCCCCCACGTCCTTGTTTTCTTTGTC